GAGCCTGCCAGAACGGCTTACCTGCCCCTGGACGGACGGGGACGAAAAGTGTTTGGAAAATGTTTTTTTATACCTGTTTTATGTTTTTGACCTTGTCAGTATTATGTTTTGTTTCCATGGCTGCGTTGATTTTATTGTGGCCAAATGCCTTTTTTAAAAATGATTTTGTAATAAAAGCAGTGCCATCTCAACACGTGATTGATTTTTGCCTCCAAAACCGCTCTCTTGTCTCGTCTTGTGCACAAAACACGTAAAAAAAGAAAAAAAGTTAAGAGGGGTTTTAAGTGAGTTTTTGGCGAAAACCTCAGGTAAATGGGGGTCAGGGGGCTTAGATGGCCTTACATGGCCTTAGAAGGTCACCCCCCCAAATCGCCCTTATGTAATTTGTGAACGTTCCCTTTACCATGTGATCGTCAATACCAACTTTGGCTGAACTTCATGTATTCCTTTGTGTGTAAATTAACCGCAAATAAATACAAATACAAACATGCGTAAGGATCCTGGAAAATCACGATTTAAGTATTAATATCGAATTTATTCTCAATACAGTAGAAAAGTTGGGTTGCCCAAAGCAATTACAGGATCAGTGAGGCATTCAACATTCCTCCATGTAAATTCTTTAATACTTCCTTGTTTTGTTTTTCTTTGGAGAGGGGGAGCTAGCCACGGTGCCACCCAAATTAAATTATTTTATGTGAATATCAGAATCGTAGTGAGATACGCCACAGATCGCTTCCGTTGGATGGCTGAACACAACGTGCCGTTCGCAGCTATCATGTCGACAGCAACCCTGACAAAAAGTGCAAGCTCCCTCCTCCCACTTGCTCATCGCAGACAAGTGCAACAGTGGGCATCTCAGCACGGCCGCACGGACTTGCTCCCTGTGTGCCCACTCGTGCATGCATGGCTCAGGCAAGTCGAAATACAGCTCCTGCAGGTGAGGAAGGACTTCGCCGTCCAGTTCACGCAGCAGGTCATCATGGAGCGGGCCGTCTAAGTCAAGGTGCACAAGATTCTTCAAGCGGTGGATGACAGTAGCGAGATTGCGCAGCGGTACAGTTCCGTAGCCTGGGGGAGGTGACATATCGTTCTCACACTTAAATTGAAATTCGAGGCGTTTGAGTGCCGGGGCAGCCTCTCCAGACCCACCCAGGCTGAGCACAGTGTCCGAGGCTTGGAGATGAGGCACGACGGAGAAGTTGAGAGCCAGGTCCCTCAAGTGCATCACGGCCCCTCGGAGGAACTTCAGCACGCCCGGCAAGAAAGGCTGCGTTGCATCCTCCAGCCGCGGGTAGAGCCGAAGCACCTTCAACTCCGTGCACTGGAGGATGGCCGGCATGTCGGCCATCATGGGGCAGGTCAACTCCCGCAGGTTGGACACGGTGGAGAGCAGCGCCGCAGTGCGTGGCGGAGGCGGAGCGTTCCCCAGTGTCACGGACTGAAAGGGCAACACGCAGTGAGCGGGCAAGTTCTCTGTTAACCAGCAATCCGTTAGCAAGTTTGCTTGCCACGGTATTGAAAAGCCGTTTTGAAAGCCGAAAGTTGGCAAGCCTCCCCTACAAACTCGAGTACACATCTACTCTTGGATGCGTACACACCTACGGATGCATACGTTATAGGTGTGAGCTGATCCAAGTATGCATCCGCAGATGTGTACTCAGCTAAGTATGAATCCATGTGTACTCACTCAAGTATGCACTAGGAGGTGTTCACTTGTAAGTATGCATCTGCAGATGCATACTGAGAATACACTTCAGTTTGAAGAGTGGTCCTAAAATACTGACCATAATTGGGCATCGCCAGCGGCTGAAGTGCTAAATATTGGCAAGCTGATGGGACATTCCATGTGAAGTCAACCAGGCCTTAGCCACCTTGGGCTCCGATCAGGTTCTCCTTTTCAGGGTTTGTTACCCCTATGGTCCCATGAAATAATCAGTACTTGGTTTGGGGTCCGGCCCCCTAGGGGCTGAGCTGTGGCCAATTTACTTTTTCGCTGAATACGGGAACAGCGCAACCTTGGAGGGCACAGCAACCATTGGTCGTACGTCAAATCCGAGACCAGATTTGGAAAGAGGAGGAAAAACTGAATCTTTGTTGGCAGTGAAGTTTTTATGTCCAAAAACTTTTTATAACTTTAAAATCTCATTCAACCAACGTTAATGAAAGCAAATGATACTCGTAAGGCTTTCTTCTAGGTAGTAGTTCGGGATTATAGTATTTATAATTGTGTATGAAATAAAATAGATAGCCCAATAAAATACATAGACCTAAGCGAGGTGTGGTAGCCAAGTTGTGGCTTGCACCAGCTTGCACCGCCGCGCCGCGCCCCGAGCGCGCCGAGCCATGCCGATCCGTGAGGGATAATTCTTTCCCAAGTCACCCGAGGTCCCGAAATCGATGTCTCGGATTCCGACGAAACTTTGTGGGTGTGTTCCCTATGTAGCAAAGAGCTCCAGAAAAAAAATTGGACTTTTGTGGTCGGCCCAAAAATTTTTTATCGCGTATTTTGTAAAAAACACTGAAACCTTCACTAAAAATTTGTTTGTTGCCCGAGGGCGACCTGCCCGGTGGATTTCCCTTCTTTTCATGGTATACTGAAAAAAAAAAGTGTCCGAGAGCCACTTCACAAGTCACTTGTTCTAGGAGATACGTACCAAAAAATTCGTTTTTCGCGAATACCCAAAAAATGCATCTGAATTTTTTGATGATAATTTTTTTAAGGAAGATTTGATGGTGGTCTATCACCCTTTTTGGTTTTGGGTTTAGCCAATGGAAAACAGAATAAAAATCGCGTTTATACCTGTTTTTTGCAGTTTTTGGCCCACAGTATCGCCATTTTAAGTCTGACTTAATGAGCGACATTAGACTTTTTTTCGCCTTTTCAAGACGAATCAATTGATATAAGTTGAAGTCAAATCGGAGTATTTTGAAAAATCGCCCTTTTTACGATTGGCTCCAACTAATCTAGATGCGTAAAAAGGGCGTTTTTACTTTGTTCACTTGCTGGCCCTTATCACAGTTTATAAAGAAATCGACACTACAGCCATAATTCTCTCTTAAAACTGTGATAATATTATAAGGGCGAGCAAGTGAACGATTTGTTAGTATATATTAAGATTTAATTAATTGGCTGAGCGATAGCGAAGCCTGTTACTCAGGTGGGGTTGAAAAATTTTTCCTGTCTGCGTGCGTGTGTGTGTGTGTCCGCGCTACTCCTCCTGAACGGCTCGGCCGATCTCGGTGAGATTTTGCACACTTTTTGGGTATGTCCTTGGCTCAGTACACGCGAAATTTCACTATCCTAGCTCAACTGGTTCGGTTTTTATAGCCGAAAAACACCTAAAAAACGGCGAAAAATCGAGTTTTCTGCAGGCAGATCACTTCTGTCTTGAAGAAAGGGGGGTCTGGGGGGCGGGGCGGGCCCCCCAGCCTCGACAAGTTAAAAAGTCAGGCCAATGCAGCCTTAGGCACGAAATCAAATGCTGTTTTGACCTTCAATCACGCAAATTGGTGTGCGGATGCCTGGAAAAGAAACCTAGCCTGCCGAAGGCAGGCAAGCGCCGCAGGCCAAGGTAGGTGTAACGCCAGGCGTGGATTGTCGTAACTGGCGCAGCATCGCGAAGCCTGTTACGACAAGACACGGTCTGGCGTACACCTACCTTGTACAAATTTTGAGCAAAAGTGAGGTACATTAATTTTTCACTTCATTTGCGCACAAAAAGTCAAAGAAAAAAGCTGCATAAATAAGTTTTCACTCAATTGTTCAAGAAGAAGTAACATTGAAGTTCTAATGAAACATTAGGTTAACATGATCAGTGATCACAAAACACAAAAATTGTCAACCAATAATTCAAGAAAAAAACATTAGGTCTAAAATAAAAGATGCCGAGAAAGCTTTAGTCGGACCACCCCAACCCGAGCTCTTGGGAACACCAATACCGTAAACCGGGGCTACTTTGCCCACTGGGGTAACTTTGGCCCAGCGGCTAAAAATGTTACCAATGGAATAAGAAGCACTTAAAACGAATTTCTAGCCCATGGGCCAAAGTTACCCCGGTGGGTCAAAGTAGCCCCAGTTTACGGTAACAGGAAAAGTAGCGATATACATTGCCAACTTTGGCCCGTCCCGTTAAGAAACGTACGAATTTCGCCTATATTTGACCCTGACGGGAATTAAACCTGAGTCTGGGGTTAAAATAAATGTCGTTTTCGTCATCAGCACCCTCAAAACCATCAGAAACAATGAAACAACTCGAAAAAAAGAATGTTCAAAAAGTACCCCGCTGGGATTTGAACCCGTGTCCGAACTTCTCCGATTCGCTCGAAACTGGCACCATTGGTTTTTTCTCGTGCCGTTTTGTTTTACCGTTTGTGAAATAGTCCAAAATGCTCTACGGACAAAGAGGAACGGACGCTCCGTAACGCAAAGTTCTCTGACGAAACGCATGAAACGGTCACTCCGTAAGGATACGGACTGGCCCTTACACGTTATCCGTTACAGAAATTTGAGTTACGGAGTGTCCGTTTCCTCACTGTCCGTGGAGCATTTTGGACTATTTCACAAACGGAAAACCGAAACGGCAACCTCCGGTCTAAAATTAGCGGTACATTTTCCGTTAAATTTCCGTACCACGCTTTACAAAGCACAGGCTCTTATGGGAGGAGTGGTACGGCAGATGTCCGTATCACCATTTCAGGGGGTATACGGAACGCCGTAGCATGCTCCGAATCAGACACTGATTTTTTGCAGTGTGGCCCGGAAGTAAGAAATTGGAGTTCCTATAAGAAATATTCGCTGCGGATGAGCCCCAGACCTCATCCATAGCGTTTCTCATATAGTAACTGCCATTTCTAACTTCCGTTTTAGTTTTTCCTCTTCCAGGCCAGAGCTCCTCCGAAATACCCTATTCGTCTATGGACAAGAGGAGTACATACTAAACATCTAGTGTGCGATATAAACTGAGTTACAGCGAAAATATCTCGCCATTTCATTTCCTTACCTTTAGAGTTGACGCATGCCACTCAAGGTGGAGGGGCAGGTACGTATGTGCGAACTCTGACGGATACATCAACACCTGCAGGGATGCCGGCACCGGCAGATCGCTTTTAGCTACGTGGGAGAGGGGTGCTCTCCACCTCATGATGTCCGCAGTGCCTTCGCCGATGGAAAGATACAAACGTTCCAACCCTAAGCAAAACAAACATGTTGCTCTTGACACACGTGTTTGACTCTTTTGTGTGAACGAGTGTAAAGTGCAATGCACTTTAGTGGCCAAAATTTTTGCTGGCTCACGATCAGTGAGATAACTTATTTCAGCACAATCAATCCGAACCAATCTTCTGAACCAAACAATAGAGCACTAAGAACTCTTAGACAGGGAGCCTGATGAACCAATTCTTTCGGTTTGGTTGGCATGGTCGCGTCGAATGCGAGAATCGGGGGAGGTGATCATTGACATCACCCCACCCCTCTCCCCCCTTTTCCCTCCATGAAAAGGAAAATCTATTACGATCTCTGACCAGCCCCAGAAGTTTTTACCTGGAGTGTAGAGAAGGCTTTCATGGAGACACTGCAGTCTCAGGAAAGTCTCTTCATTCAGATCCCGAGACCACAAAGACAACTCGACAACACGCAATCGTCCCAGGGCGGCTTGCCTGCGCAAGGAAAAGGAAAGTGAGTCACGTGGAGTCCGCCGAATTGGAGTTGAGTTACAATGGGAAGTGATGCGTTCTGCAATGCAAACGCCAGTGTGCACACTGCTCTGAACCGTGTGCTTGTCACCCACACACTTTAAAGAAGCGTGCCTGATCGGGAGAGACTGCATGGGTCCTCGGCACAGAGTTAGAAACAGTGTGCTTCACAGGCACACCGTTCAGAACAGTACACTGGTGAAACAAAGGCATTAAAATAATGCCCTTTAAGAGCGTAAAGCAATTACGCCCTTGGAGCGGCGTGAATCGTCAATGCCTTTTGAAAGGGCATTCAAATTTTTAAGAAATTACCTATGTCCTTCCTAAGGGCATAAAACGATTTACGCCCTCGGGCGTAAAAGAGTATTGATGCCCTCAAGGGCGTAAATTTTATGCCTTTGTTTTCCCAGTGTATGCATACAGTCATGCGGCCACGTGTGTTTGCGAAGCTGCCCTGAACCCTTTTCCCACCTGCTGACCACCACTGCAACGAGAACTGCGTCAGCTGGATCCACCCAGATGTAGAGCTTGGCAAAGGCACACGTCGTAGAGCTAAGCAGAACGCCAAGACGAGCCATGCTTTCCGAACCCAACATAGATAGGTGGTTAAGGCAGGGGGCTAGACGTAGTGCAGCAGCGACCAGGCGGGCGGAGGAGCCGGAGCTTAAAATAAAACAGCACGTGATTAGGGACGATTATCATCTGAAGTAATGGGCACTATCTAGAATTTCAAGTTTGTCCTTCCTCTCCCAGTTCTCTAAAATATTTGTAGTTTTTGAAAAGGCCCGTAACAACAAAAAGAATAGGCACATGGAATCATCTGTAGCTGGCTAAAACCGAGAGCAAAAATTCAAAACATTAACTTTAAATATTTTTGAACCACTGCTGACGACAGCGTTTTCAATTCACATGCAGCTTCCTCACTGTGAAACCAAACGAGGAGAACGCCACATTTGAATTGCGGAGGAGAGGAATGTTCAGTCTCCACACTTAAAAGTGCAGAGTTTGGAGTCTCCACACCTCCAACGTGGAGTTGTCCACGTTGACACCATGCAGAGAGATAGGGGCCTTGTGAGCTACTCCACACTTGAAGTGTGGAGGCTGCAAACTCTGCAATTCCAAGGGTGGAGACTTACTCCACAACAGGAAGTGTGGAGTTGCCCACGTTTGGTTTCACATTGCTGTCACGGTAAGGCCTGGTAAGATGAAGGTTTGGAGTAGATATAGATATATTTTAGAGACTTTAGCTCAGGGCTCAGGTACCAAAATACTCACGAGGCGCGCAGGCTCTTACTTCGCCACAGGTCCGGGTGCAGCGCCAAGTCCCGCCACCGGCGGCAGACTTGCCGGCACTGCAACAGCTCCCCGGGACTCAGGTGGCTCAGCACCTGCAGCAGCTCGTCCTCGGGCAGCGCCGCCATCTGCGCCGAACGCACGGACGGTCACGGGGTTGGAAATCACGGCAAAGTTCAAACTCAACTGACGCAAGGAAGCGAAAGTAGGCGATAACTCCATTTCGGCTTCGGCCATTTTTCAGGAGAAACAGAACTGTTAGCAGAGAAAACTAAATAAATGAATGCTAACAAGTTCAACCAGCTCAAAATGAGAAAGGTGAAGTTGACTTGTTTATTTTTACATTCGACTCATTAAAACATAAGTTGAGCTATCGTCTACCGACAATATTTTCAAAAGAGTCACGTTGACTTTGGTTTAGTTGTTTCCAAACCTCAATTTGGAACTTTGTCAAATTATTCTTTACTTCCGCTTCTAGCATCTAATTTCTACGCAGTTATTGGTGCAAAGCTACGCACAAAATCGAGCACACGTTTTGAAGTACACGAATTTGTCGCGTGTGAAAATGTGAATTGTTACGCAGCTCTTCGCAAGTTGTTGCGCACGAATTGGTGCATACGTTAAGGTGGGAAATACCCATTGAAGCCCCTTTTTTTAAAGTGCCTCGTTTTCATTGAAAACTCTTTCGTACCGTAAGGAGTTTAATTTTGTCTTGTAATGTGTTCCTTATAGATTCCAAATTCAGCCAGACATTTCACCCAAGTACCCTATGAGTGTAGAAAACTTCGGCCAAAAAGCAACGCTGCCAACCTTCGGTGCGCACGTTTTCTCGAAAAGTAATTGATCTCCAGGTCCAGGTATTCTGTACAGGATACTTGACACATATATCTAGTTCACACCGTCGCCCTTTTTGAAAGTGAGTTCCAGTTTTTTGGTATAAGGCGGAAAATTGAAAATAGAGAGTCAATACTTCATTTTTTGCACTTTTCTGCCGTGTTTACAAAAAACTGGAACTCACTTTCAAAAAACGGCGACGGTGTGAACTAGATATATGTGTCAAGTATCCTGTACAGAATACCTGGACCTGGAGATCAATTACTTTTCGAGAAAACGTGCGCACCGAAGGTTGGCAGCGTTGCTTTTTGGCCGAAGTTTTCTACACTCATAGGGTACTTGGGTGAAATGTCTGGCTGAATTTGGAATCTATAAGGAACACATTACAAGACAAAATTAAACTCCTTAAGGTAGGAAAGAGTTTTCAATGAAAACTAGGCACTTTAAAAAAAAGGGGCTTCAATGGTTATTTCCCACCTAAAGGGGAGGTTCTACTGAAAATATTGCATTTTTCAAATTGAGCCCCAGTGTTAACATTTGTCGCAGCACTACATAGTTATCAGTCAAACATGAAATTTAGAGCTCAATACCTTCCTCCAAATCCAGTCGAAGAGGTTTTTTCAGCCTATTATATAGCAAAATCTTTAAAAGTTCTCCTACACAAAGTATTTTAACGTAAACTGATGTTCTGGACATTTTTCACTTCTTTGGCTCATATGCAGTAAAGCGTGGCATCACCAAGACATGGGACCCAACAAATTTACATGACGTTGCTTTTCAGAAAAAAAAAGACACTAAAATATCAGGATTTTTACCATTTTATTGAAATTTTAGTGACATGCTGTCTTAAAAACAGAGCTTATGATCTTGTAATGGTCCCTGTATCTTGCTAATGCCACGGTTTATCAAGTATGAACCAAAGAAGAGAGAAATGCCCAGAACATCAACGTTGCATTACTTTGCGTAGGAGAATTTTTCAAGTTACGACTGTAAATAGCAGAAAATTCCTCTTCGACTGGATTTGGAGCAAGGTATTGGTCTCCAAACTTCAAATTTTACTATTTACTATGAAATACTTTAAATTGACAATGAATATTGATGGACTCAATTTGAAGAAAGTATGATTTTCAGTAGAATCTCACCCTAATGCTCAATTTTGTGTCACACTATGTACAAAAATAACTTTGCATACAGATATGAACAAAAAGTTCGTCTTCACTGTCGTCTCATACAAAATTTGTACATATAAATTCAGTGTAATGAAGTTCGAATAAAATCTGCCAAAATTTCTTCTCATTGAAGCTCTTCAACGAGTTTCTGGAACAAATCCGAACCCAGCCATTCACGCCCGAAGCACAAAATGCATGCTAGTGTTCGTTAGAAAGATAACTTAATCTGAAGACGAGATGGGGCTGACTCGTTTCAGATCTTTTAAGGAATATAATTGGTCGATGCCACGCCTACTCCACAAACTTAAGTGTCCTCACCTTGCAGAGAAAGCCGCGGAGATTCAATTCAATTCTGAAACATCTCCACATTCCTACCGGTTCGGTCTCAGCGGCGACTGAAACTCACCTCCATGCAGTGGGGAGCGCTCTGGGACGACGCAGCCGGCAGTTCCTGCAGATCCAGCTGTCGCTGCAGCTCCCACATCACTGTGGCAAAAGACTATGGAGAATTCTGTAAACAACTTGTGATAATTCTCCGTACCCAGGCCTCACTAGTTTCCGTAGCCCTGTTGTCAATATTGACCGTATGACTTTACAGTGTTCTCCGTATGCCCTTAGCAGTCTTTTCCGTACACCTTATTGGCCTGAAGTGTAGCACACGTTGGCCTCAAAATAGGTGCTTTGCAGCAGCAAAATAGGATGTCTGTGAGTGAACGCAGCTCTGGCAAGTGACAGCCATCAGTTGTGACACTAAACTACGGACACTTTGATTCACCTTGATGACCAGGGTACTTACTTGTGACAAACTGGGTGTGACGCAGAAGATAATGTGAGTCCAACATTCATGTCCAGCAACAAAGGTAGTCCATATCACTTTTACACAAATGTTGATGCAAAAGTTACTACCCAGTCTCAGTAAGTACACTGGTGGGGAGGTCTCTTCGCAGGTGAGCTAAGATGGGTTCACACGCGGACCGTACTGAGGTGGTTACGTTCTGTCACAGCCGGGCGTTTTGATTCACGAGCTGTGAGCAGGTTAAGTCGTGGCCACTCTATAGGCCAAGAGCCAAACATTGATTGTCAGCACTCAAACGCGTCGCGCTTGCTTCCAAGGCGAACCGGAGGTTAATCTTAAAGGAATAGTGTCATTAATGGACCATAACACGATGATACTGCCGAAAAATTTCGTGAAAATGACTCTTAATTGAGAACGAAACAACAGCTGAGCTGTGAGGAGGCTGCGAGCTGTCTGCTTAAGCATCTTCATCTTTTTGTCTTCTTTGGTCTCCAAAAGTGCCAACACCTACGAGAATCCGACTGACATGTAATAGGACTGGTTTCTTTGAGATTGGAATACACAGTCTTGGAAGCTAAGAAGCAGACAAACTGTGCACTAGAAAAATCATAAATTTCAGAAAAAAGTTGAAAAATATAGAAAAATAAAGATTTTTTGCAACTGGGATTTTTTTTTTGCTTTGTTCCGCGCCTGCCGGAGCGAAGCAGACGATATGTTGTGATTGTTGATTTGTTGTCTGTGGACATGGATATGAACCGTCTTCGGAAAGCAAAGCAAAGCCGTAAAGTCGTGTTTGTGCGTCCAGTCGGTCCACTGCAATGATCTAGTCAACTGCTGCCGGACGGTTTCGACTCGCGACTCGCCAAATGTTGTAGCCGTCCATCTTAACCTCCCGGCTCAGCGTGTCAGCGCCGTCCACACGTATTTAATTAACACGTTATTCCTTTCCTCTCGTTTATCGTAAGTCCTTGGCGGGCGTCCGAACTCGTCTAATTTTAGGTTGCTTTGCATGTGACCGACGCTTTGATGCGGATTCCCGGAATTCCGCCTCTTGTGTGGTGAAGCGCATCGATACACAATTGCTTTTGCTACTGTCGTTTCGTTTCGCTACGTTTCGTTCTGGAATCACTCGCTTAGATCTTATCCGAGTCGCTTCCGTGGGGCTCCAACCGTGTGGATCTCCGTTTTTCTCTGAGTCACTATTGCCCTATGGTCTAACATGTTGTTTTGTGAAAACAGGTGAAAGCTGGACAGGAGTGGCGGCAAGGTGATTTGGATTTGGTGAGGATGCAGTGGTGCAGAGGGGGATTCATCAATCCATCCAGCTGATAAGGACCATCCTGGACGCAGTGAAGCAGATCTCCTGCCATTTTTCAGAACTACAACTCCATGAGTAAGTTAAGTTTTCAAATTTCCTTTGTCAACACATCAGCCTGGCCTCACTTCATGCGCATGGAGTTCTATCTCGTCACAACAAGGCGCACGTTGTGTTTGGCACAATGAGTAAGAAAGGGTGACTAATGAATTTTGTCAGGGAGACAGTCTGTTTTTTTGGGAGGGTTCGCACAGGCGGGGCCTAGGCTACAGACCTGTAAACGCCTTTGAAGCCCTATCCAATCTATACGTGGTTTGAACAACAATAACACCCACCAGAAGGGTGTTTTCAGAAAGGTGGAACCATAGCTAGGTGCACAAACAGGAAGAACAACAGAAATCAGAGGTGACACTTGTGCATACATCCAAATCATTTCTCTCTTTTGAAAATTTCAGTTGCTCTCTGTTTTTCAAACAGAGTAATATTGTCTATGTCCTTATACATTAATTAATAGAAAATTCTTTTTCATCTCTAAACTTCTGAGCTACCATTGTGCTATTGTTTAAGATGTTGTTGTGTAAATACAGGTTGTGGCTGGAGAGGAGTGGCGGCCAGGTGATGTGGTGAGGATCTAGAGCAGAATCCGTAAGTCCGTCTAGCTGATAAAGTGCTGAGCCATCCTGGATGCAATGAAGCAGATCTGCTGCTGTTCGTTGAAACCACATCTCCATGAGTAAGTTTTCAGATTTCCTTTGTTAACACATCAGTGTGGACTCTATCGTGGGCAACATTTGCTGTGTTGTTGGTTTTGATGATCTAACTAATCGCCCATTAACCTTGCAGTCCTAGCGCAAATTCTTCAATCTTGTTTCGTGAGGAATATCATAATAAGGCTGTATGAATTGTAATCAAGTTCACTGTTATCAAAATGCAAAGCAGACTTATAGGAAATAACATTCTCCATATATATATGCACTATATTTTTTCTTTCTCTTTTCTTGCACCTCTTTATGAATTAACACAGTTTTGTTTCATTTTGCACATGAAGCGCTGGGTTAATGAGTGTTGAGTTTTGCGGGTTGATTGGAAGGGTACCTTGACTAACTTTTCTCTTTTTCATGTTTTCTGCCCAGTCCCAGTGGATGCAGGACAACCAACAGACTCAGCAGAGTCCCTCTTCCAAGCTCAAAAAAGTAGGGGACCAGCTCTGCTTTTTATTGGCCATGCTACCTATCTCATCACTGAAGAGAGAAGCAGAAGAAAATAATCAAGAAATATAATACTTCATAGTTTGTGCTGCCTGAAGCTATTGTCAAATTATTTTTAAGTTAGTGATTTGTAATTTATTGTTTGCTCTGCTTTTGCACTCAACCTTTGCTTTGCATTGGTAATGGCCAAATTTGTTTTCACCGACCCTAAACTAACTTCATTCTATTTGCATTTTGGAACTGAGTTTAAATTCTATATTTTCTTGTACAAGCAGAACAGTTTGCATATTGCGGAGGGTGTCATGAATGATCTTCAGCCTTTATGTAGCATTGGTAGTCCATTTGTTTGAGCTGTGAATTATTTTTGGAGAAGAAGACATGTTATTAGCTTTGCTTTGTAGGTGCTTGGTTTTGTTTCAAATCATAGAACTTTTACTAGATTGCTGAATTGTTTAATGTTTTGAAGTAATATTATCAATTTTAAGCCTGGAGCTATGTGTTAATTTTTATACATCTTACTTATTTCTATAAAATTTACTTAATCTGCCATATGCTGCCCAACAGATGTTGGTGATTCTATCTTGGTCAGTTTATTATTGTAAACAATTTTTTGAGACTGATTAAGAACTGTATTAAATTTCAGTTTATTGAGTTATTATTTGGCTTGAATGGTTTGTTGAAGTGTGTCTGTTAATTGTGAAACAGATAAAGTAGTTACACTTTTCATAAACTTTTATTCTTAAAATTTTTGGGAAGACAACAATCTTAATCTTACTTTGAAAAATTAAGCAAATTTACAAGCAATCTATAAGCAATCTATAAGAGAGAAAACATAACTAGACAGGATTGCAAAAGAAGTCAAATTTACATGAAAACTTTTGAGTGTTTTAGGCTGATGCACTTAATTTTGTCACATTTTTCATTGTTGATTGTGTAAGAAGGAAGGGGAAAGTAATCTGGCAGATCTGAGATGTTGTTTTCTTGTTTCTTGAAGATGTCTTGATTTATGAAGAAGTGACCGTTTCCTGAAGATCTGGCTGTATGAACATTGAATGTGAAAAATACTGTTTCATCTAGATAAATTAAAATTTTGGTGATGCACCTGACAGATACGTCAATGGATTCCACTTTATATTCAGTAGCTTTTACATGCCAATCTCATATTGGGTTCCTTTAACTATTGCGGTTTTGACACTCATGACTTTTTTGTCATATGAGAGAGGTGGTAACGCAGGTGGTGCTTCAGACAATTCTTCTCAAGTAGTTGTATCATCATATTCAAAGTCTTGAGGTAAGAACCCATTAAGGCGCTTGCCCCCCTGCCGGACTCCGGCGATGGCTAAAGGAACTTATTTTGTGTATTGACGGGGAGTCGTTTTTGCGAATACTCCGTGCCATTTTCGTTCAGGTAGTGTAGCCTTCTCCCGAGAGATGGCACTACAGTCAGGTACTTCCAAAAAATAAAAGGGTCCTAGTTCTGGGTGGAAATCCCTACACCTGCCGTGCATTCTGGCCGGTGACGGACAGCGCGGTGCGTTTTGGCAGTGTCGATGGCCAGACAGTGCGGCGCGGCCGGTGCAGCCCGGGCCGCGCCGTGCGCTCGAACAGATGTCATTGTCCGTCTCTGTCTCACCCGCGCAGTGCAAGCGAGACGGCCGAGGCGAGGCATGGAGGGGGAAGCAGCGGCCGACTGGCGAGGCGCGCGGCTCACTGTGGAGTCCGATGCGCTCCAGTTTCCAAATTTAAAATTTGAATGTTGCAACTGAGTGGTGGCGGTTGGGTACCAACAATTTCCTTTTTCTTTTACGATCATTTTGACACCAGTTCAACATCGATTTGAAATCGGGGATAAAATTTCTCCTACGGCCTTCAGCTCCTCTTATCAGACTCTGACGATGAAACGTGTCACCCCTTTCCCCTCGCGTCGTCCTCCTCGCCAAATTGTGGCCAGCGTGACGCGTTCAAGTCGCGAGGGACTCGTTGGTGGACTGGCTGGATCGGAGTCCGAGCAGGCCCGGCACCTCAGCCGGCGCGCTCCAGGTCAGCGTCTGCAGCTCCGGCTTACCGCGGGGGGAGAGGGGGAGGGGGAAGGCGGCGAAGACAATGCCCGGCTGCAGGCGAGCTGTCTGTCATAAATGTGTCGCGCCGCACCGGCCGGCCTGCACCGAGTTCGGATACCTGCCACCGCGCCACTGTCCAGAGCCCCGCCAAACGACCGCCAACTTCAAAATGGGTTGAAGGGGGGAAAAAACAGTGCTTTACTTGTGCAACTCACCCTCAAAAAGTATCAATGATAGAACAAATCTGAAGGTAGATTTGTGTAGGGGAAAGACGTGCGCATTCAGTGTGACCCCTTGCGGAATGAAATTCCGAGATCATGTCTCTCAAATCTGGAGTACAACTTTGAACCAATTTTGGCCCAACTTTGACCACCTATTTGGACTACAAGGGGTGTAGGCACGAACCTCGGAGGGGTCACACTGAATAGGCGCTCATTTTTACTGCACGAATATGTAATTGGTTTTGATCCACGTATCGTACTTTTGACGGGTGAGCTGCACGAAGTTTGGACATTTCAGGGTTCAATAACTTTGTTCAAATTTGAACTAGCGTCATAAAAATTTGAGAGGAGCATCATAACTGTGTTCCCAACATGTGTTTCAAATTTGAGCCTAATCCGTTAACTTAAATTTAGGGGGGCAATCGCCTTAATGTGGTCACAAGCGAATTTGTATTGGTATTTCTGAGCCAGTGTCTTTGTTATGTTCAGAAAAGACTTGCATTGTTTAGCCACACTTTTGAAAAACACATGCTAGCTTTCTATTTTAAGGGTAAAGATCCTTTTCAACGGGCCAAATATATACATCAAATCTGGATATTCACATAGGTAATGGATGCATTCTTTCTCAAACCAAATCAACTTTCCGGGTCAATGTGGAGTTTTGGCCTCCCAATTTTTTCATCAAGAGGCCCTCACTAGGAGAGACTCCCTGTAAAATATTTTTGCAATCGGACCAATAGTTTGGGAGAAAATGACAAAAAACCATTTTCACCCATTTTAGCGCAATTTAAGGTTGAAAAATTTCAAAGTGCCAAAATGCTGCTAAATTAAGGTCCCACTTCCCCAATGCTTTTCTTATTTGAACGAGCATATTAAAAAGTAATTTTGAGCCACTTTGGAGTCAGCTGACTTTACGTGTTACCCCAATCGTGTAACATTATAGGAATTTTACGCAATTTTCATTTCTCAAATACTCCGACTCAGAACTGGACCGAATCAGGCCCAAATCATCCTTATATAGCCCTAAGTAATATCCCAAGTAGTCGTCAAAAATATATTTCATTTGTGGATTCTGGAGCTGACTTTATAATCTTAAGTCTTTGTAACTCGATGAATTAACTGTTTTGGACTCAGATGCATATTTTCTCCATCCGAACAACTCAGATGGAGCTCAAAACAGATTCTTAACTTCAGGTAACTTTCTCTCTTGTAAATGAGCCCAAACCACCTGGAGGAAGGTGTCAAAATTGCCTCACAACAAATTCCACTGCTTTCCGGCAAAATTCCTAAAATGTTACTCGATTAGGGTAACGCTTAAAGTCAGCTGCCTCCAATGTGGCTTTGACATAGCACAAACATCAAAAATCTGTCTTTGGATAAAAGCAATGAAATGAACACCAGAAAAAATAATGTTTATCTGATGAGACAGACCCTTTACCTTATGCTGGAAATGATGTTTTCAGAGGGGAACCACTTACTATGAATTACCTTGTTTTCTTCTGGTGGTCATGTAATTGCTTTTATCTAAAGACAGATTTTTGATGCTTATTTTGCTATGTCAAAGCCATATTGGAGGCAGCTGACTTAAAGCGTTACCCTAATCGAGTAACATTTTAGGAATTTTGCCGGAAAGCAGTGGAATTTGTTGTGAGGCAATTTTGACCCCTTCCTCCAGGTGGTTTGGGCTCATTTACAAGAGAGAAAGTTACTTGAAGTTAAGAATCTGTTTTGAGCTCCATCTGAGTTGTTCGGATGGAGAAAATATGCATCTGAGTCCAAAACAGTTAATTCATCGAGTTACAAAGACTTAAGATTATAAAGTCAGCTCCAGAATCCACAAATGAAATATATTTTTGACGACTACTTGGGATATTACTTAGGGCTATATAAGGATGATTTGGGCCTGATTCGGTCCAGTTCTGAGTCGGAGTATTTGAGAAATGAAAATTGCGTAAAATTCCTATAATGTTACACGATTGGGGTAACACGTAAAGTCAGCTGACTCCAAAGTGGCTCAAAACTACTTTTTAATATGCTTTTTCAAATAAGAAAAGCATTGGGGAAGTGGGACCTTAATTTAGCAGCATTTTGGCACTTTGAAATTTTTCAACCTTAAATTGCGCTAAAATGGGTGAAAATGGTTTTTTGTCATTTTCTCCCAAACTATTGGTCCGATTGCAAAAATATTTTACAGGGAGTCTCTCCTAGTGAGGGCCTCTTGATGAAAAAATTGGGAGGCCAAAACTCCACATTGACCCGGAAAGTTGATTTGGTTTGAGAAAGAATGCATCAAAACGCCTAAACAAACGGCGAAAAATCGAGTTTTCTGCAGGCAAATGCCTTCTGCCTTGAAGAAAGGGGGGTCAGGGGAGCAGAGCCCCCCAGCCCCGGCAAGTTGAAGAGTAACAAGGGTCGAGATCGTGTTATCTGTAGATGAAGCAACTCTATCTGGAATGAAGGGGGGTCTGGGGGGCTAAACAATTTAGAAGTAACCGACGACGGGGGAGCCATGGCCTGCCGAAGGCAGGCTAGCGCCGCAGGCCAAGGTAGGTACGCCAGGCGCGGATTGGAGGAACAGGCAGCGAGACATCGCGAAGCCTGTTACGACAAGACGCGGTCTGGCGTAAACCTACCTTGTTATACGCTTTAGTTTTACCAGTGCTCTCTTAACCTACAACAATTTTTCTTGTGCAATATATTGTAGGCGGCAGTTCGAGTCGAAGCCCCGTGTCGACCACTCCCACCACCGGCACCCACCGCCGACCACCTGGACGGCGCTTGAAGGGGTCGCTGGAATCGAAGTCGCTTCAGGAGGAAATACAGACGCCATCTAGGACGTCCTCACCATCACCCAAAACGTCCCTGTCGTTATACAAGACGCCTCCGTCGTCATCCACGACGCCAACAGCACCATGCAATTGTAAAAAATCGTCTTGCAAAACCCTCCGCTGCACCTGCCGCAAGAACAACCGTGCCTGTTCCAAGCAGTGTCACGCGGGTGACCATCTCTCCGCGAGCTGCTCTATTCCGCCATGCGGTGCCAGGGGTAGGGGTTGCTCAAAATGCACCTCGTGCAACTGCAAGCGAGAAGGAGTCAACTGCAGTAGAGACTGTCACCCAAACCGTTCATGTCAGAATGAACCCACTTCACGGAATATGTATATTTTGGGAGTAGCTTTTATGGTCGTCTTTATCTTGTGTGCTCTCATAGCTATGCACGCTTTCCAAAAGTCATGGAGCAGGTAGTCGTTTTGAGCCGCCCCCTTATCCCTCTTTAATTCTTAAAATTTTGACCCCGAAACACCTGCAGACTAGCGTTGGTACTTTTAACGCTATTCCAGGGGATGCAAGGATCAGTGCACGACTTAACTATTTTGGCCCTAGAAAGATACCTTGAGTTGACATTCGCCACACTGCTTGGGGCAGAAAAAAGTACTGCAGAAAAGGTTTTTGAACACAATTAATTTTTTTTGTAACGTAACAACACTTTGGCGGTCAAGTTTGATTAAAACACATCTTGTTGTATTTCAAACTCTCTATTTTCCGATGAATCGTTTCTCTTAAAAATGTACTGATTTAAATAACGATGCCATAATTGTTACCTGAGAAATTTGTAATAAAACCAAAGAGTTGTGCATGGATTGATTTCCGGCAAACAGCAACTGTTAAATTTGGCAACATTCCCAGATGATCGTATCGTAATATCACAGGGGTTCTAAAACAATCAGACATTGGCTAACTAAGCTAATAGTGACCTAGTGTGTCTGTTTGTGTCCACTTTCCTTCAGGAGGTTTGGCCGATCGGACCTAAACTTTGTGGGGTCCTTTCACATGCCATTCTCAGTCAGCACATACCAAATTTTAGTTTAACACCTATAGGTAGTCAATGAGAGTGCCCACCCTTTGATTTTTAATATTTAGGGCATGTTAATCGCACTTAGAAATACTTCACTCTCAACATTTGCAAAACAATACAGGTATGGCTTCAAATCAAAATGCACCAATGCAATGTCGTGCTGCACTTTTGTTCAAAGAATGTGATGAGCTTCGTTAGGGGCCGTTCAAATATGACGTCACCCTTTCAGGGAGGGAGGGGTCAGATAAATCGTGACCAACTGTGACATGGAGGAGAGTGGGATGAAGGCATTTGAGACATCCCACTTTTCAGCAGAGTGAAATTGCCAAATACAAAAGAGTTGACCCGCTTAAAAATAAACTGAAATCAGCAATCCCACCTACGCACGCTTATATTGTCACTGGCTCAAGCATTTTAGCTGCACTTGGCTCAGATTTTTCCGAACAGCAACAATCCGACCGGATTTGCTAAAATGCAATCAAATTGTTAAGAAGTCTCAATTTAGGCACGATCTAGTCGCGTTTCTATCCCCGTTGCCAAAAACAATGATTTGGACACATGTGACGTCACGGGAAGGGGAGGGGTGTGTCGAAATAGTGACCATTTTTCACTCGCTATAGGTGGGAAGGGGTCGAAAATGAGCCTAAATAGTGTGACGTCATATCGAGGGTCCTATTAAAAAGATCTTATCTGGGCGTTCCCCCAAGGGATCTTATTTTAGACGTAGGCAAATTTCACTCAGTTTGATCATTTGATAGCTGAGTCAATATAATTTGTGATTTAATTCACTAAAATTTGAAGATGATAGATCAAAGAAACCAAAAGTTCATGTAGAAACATATTCCGCTTACTCTCGTATCCGTCCCAAAAGGTCAAACTGAGTGAAATTCACCTGCGTTTAAGATGAGATTGTCGTGGAGGGACCGCCCAGATAAGATCTTTTGAATAGGACCCCTCGATATTTGACCCAATGTTCGTTTCGTCGAACTTGTTTAATGTTGTTTCACGTGGAATGTGACATCCTAAAATTAAACGGCCCCGTCACGTTCACATGAATGTTACATGGCATTCAAGACAAAATTCACATTCCAACGATTATGACGTCACAATCGTAGAATGAGTGTTTTCTTGTCAGCCTGCTTGGCCGTAGAAGCGCTGCATGTCGGCGACGATGCGTGCGTTCATGCCTCCGGCGACCGCTGTCGACGCGATGAAGTCTATGTGGTTGAAGGTTTCATCCTCGTCATAATGGACACTAACGACGTTCTGGAACTGTGAGCGTAGGTAGGCTATGTCCTGCAGGAAGACAGTGCAAAATGAAGGAGAGAAAAGGAAACATGATACCGATAGGTGAGCAAAAGCTCAATCTCATTATAGAATAAGGCGGGGTTATCCACTCTCGTCCTTACGAATACACTGTACGCACAAACACTGGGTCACCCAACGCACTCCGACCTAATTATTAACTCATTACTGTCAAAGGATAAGCTACATGGTTATGAGAAATGAAGACACAAAAAAGAATGCTACAAACCTTGGGTCTGCATAAAATGTCGTTGTTGCCGAGGTAGAGGTGCATAGGCGTCTGGATGGCAGACAAGTTGTACAGCGGCGGCTCGGGCGCCCCGTAAACCTCCTGATTCTTCTTGGCGCCGTGGTCGTACTGCCGGATGCCTTGAGCTGCGTGCCACATGCAGGGATCATTAAGTTAACTCGAAAGGGCATCATGACGTAATCGTGTAATCGTAAGCGTTAACATATAACCCGTAACTAACGATTTCTTTTCAAAAGTTATTTTTCTAGCTTTTCCTATCTGTATTTGGAAGTATCTGCAATAATCCTTACCCCCAACCTTTAGCAAACATTGTCTCATGTTACGTTTTGAAACAAGGGTTTGTTAATTGTTATGATAAGTTAAGGATACCTCGGCCACAAGTTCAGCATAAACAACTCAACTGGATTGGTTGTTGCGAGGTTTGTGACAGACCTTACAGTTCTGAAGAAACCGACATGCATCGTACAACGCGCTTCAGTCGCGATCCCACACTTACTGTCGTGGTTCGCGTTTTGAAGGTAGTGGAAGATCTGGCCCCAGGAGCCGCCATATAGAAGCGAGTCGTAGAAATGCGGGAGTTCCTGGAAGAAAATCAGTATTGTCTTCCCATTTCTCAACCTGGGTGATTACTTCCAGGCTTCTTGATCGGCCTCAGTCACCCCATGGTCAGGGCTCTAGGGAAAGCCTGGCCGGAATTAACCCTGTTGACGGTACAGATCGGAAACAGAACCGCATGAAACAAGGGCCCCAAGTCAATGTCCCGCCTGGTGGACACAAAATTGTATCACCACCGGATGTGCTTAAAATTGCATCATTCATGGGACCAAACAAGTCCCATGACATCAGTGTGTATTACGAATAAAAAGCACAGTACACGGTGCGAAAAAACCACAGTGAATCCTGTTAATTTTTTTGCCGGGATTTACTGTAGTTCAGAACACAGGATTTACCGTGCCTGGCTACAGTATCTACTGAACCTGGTACAGGATATTCTGTACTCCACTCCTGTGGTACAGTAAATCCCGTACAAAGTACAGTAGATCCTGTTAAAAAAGTGCAGTAAATCCTGTACTCTGAACTACAGTGGCAGCTGTACTAATCAATACAGGATTTACAGTGAATTTTTTCCCACAGTGTAGAATCTTGGCAGAGCGACTCACGAAGTAGGTTGCGTTCTTCTTGAAGCCGAAGATGGCGTCGAAAACGGCGTAGAGCAAGGGCCGCGCCACGGGCATCAGCTGCTTGATGAGGCGCTTCACCACGAGCAAGAGCGGCCGGAGGGTGCGGCGCAGGCCCAGGCCCTCCACGAGGGGCTGCGTGCCGTTGTTGAGGACGTACAGCAGCTCCACCACCGGGCTGCGGTGCGCGTGCAGCGAACCGGCCGGTGCCATGAGGAAGGCAGCGCGAACCTACAGTCCTCGATGTGTTAGACAAACCCATGACTGCAAGGACAAACCACTACAAAAGTACACACATTCCTGGCAAATTTTTTTATCATGAATTTATTGTACTTGTAAAGTACAGCAATTGTTGTACAAAGTACAATGGGACCGGCATGGCGCGTGCTCGTGCACTCCAGGCCTCGTTGTGGTCTGTACAATTCTTTGTACTTTATACAATTCCCTGTTGTACATTCATTTTACTGTTTTTGTTGAACTTCTGTTGTACTATTCACAAGTTTTCTTGCAGTGAAGGGTTTAGCAGCCGTTACGATAGTTTTTAACCCGTTAAAGCTGATTTTTTGTTTTCCCAGCCAGCTTATAGTTGAGACATAGGCAATTTTCTAGCCGAAAGAACACGAAACGCCGCGAAACGCTAACCGTCCGTCAATTTGATAGCCATTATGATTAATTTAGGTCAAAATTGCGACCAAAAAATGCATCATTTTGACGTCAGTTTGACTTTGTTGGACCGCGAGTCATGTTCTTTGGGTGGTAAAACCAGGAACCGTTTAAACTGAGCAAGCACGGATCCAGAGAGGGAGAGGGGGGGAAGCAAAAGGATAATGGCGCCTCCCCACTACAAATCCAAAGGTCAGACTTCTCGCCACTCCAGAGGCAAGACATAAAAGTCTCGCCAAGATTTGGTCAGACCTGAAAGTCTCGCCAAAATTTGGTCAGACAAAAAAGTCTCGCCACAAAACGGTCATACACAAAAGTCTGACCCCAAAATGGCGAGACTTTTGTGTCTGACCACCACCGAAAGGCCGTAATGCGCCGGACGGTTACGGCCTAAAGGCCGTGGTCAGACACAAAAGTCTCGCCATTTTGGGGTCAGACTTTTGTGTATGACCGTTTTGTGGCGAGACTTTTTTGTCTGACCAAATTTTGGCGAGACTCTCAGGTCTGACCAAATCTCGGCGAGACTTTTATGTCTCGCCATATTTTGGCGTGAAGTCTTTCCATCCAAATTGCAGTGCCTTGACCCCTAGATAGCCATTTGAAAGGTAGGAGAAAAGCAACACTTCGCCCCTGCACTGGTAAAACTAAAGCGTAGTATTACCCTCTGTTTTCAAGCGTAATCAGTTTACGCTTGAAATCAAGCGTAACAGGCTCTTTGGCCAAGATTCCCCCTATCTAAATGCATGGGGGAGTTTCCCGAGTATGCTTCACTTCAAGCGTAACGTCTTCAAGCGTAACTTTATGCTTGACTCAAGCATAGAGTTACGCTTTAGTTCTACCAGTGTGTAAGTAGGCAAAAAGTTCTAATTTGCCCCTTCAGGCCATCTCTGGATCCACCACTGTAACTGCGTGGTAAAGCGAGCCCATTGTAGCTTGATTACGGACCTACAGTCGACTCACTTGCCATACTTTTCTAACTTCAAGGGCTTAGAAGCTACGGCGATAAATGTTCGCCGGTCCGGTTAGTTTTAAGATGGCTGACCAGAGGACACACCCCGCGTCTCTCTAACCCATCCAGGCCTCTACGCGCACCTTGCGCTGGTACTCGGGCCGCGCCGCCGCCATGGCCATGAACGTCGTGGCGCCCATGGAGTGCCCCGCGTACATGACGGAGGGGAAGCTGGTCTGCGCCAGCACGTAGTCGATGGCGGCCGCGTTGTCGAACACGCCCTGCTCGTGCCAGCTGCAGGCAGTCGCAAGCAGTTGACATGACGAAGGCCAAAAACTGTCATGAGAACCCTTTTGTCCCTTAAATGATGCGATTTCAAGCACATCCATTGTTGATACAATTTAGTGTCGACTAGGCGATACAAACGGTCCAATACCCACAATTTGCTATTTTATTGTGCAATTTGTATGAACTCAATTGGATCATCGACGGATGTGCTTAAAATTGCACTATTCATAGGACACAAAAAAAGCCTCATGACAGTTAGTGTGTAGGCAAACTGTGTGGCCAATACCTCATGAAGGTTTTAAATTTCAGAACATTCTCTCTATGCTGCTTACGCTTTTTCGACCCCCACGAACCCCTGTAAGCTGGACTTGGCATGGCTATCGCTTAATCTACAAATCAATTGTTTTACACTAGCCGAGGCCAGCCTGTACAGCACCTGAAGTTCCAGTACTCCTCGTTTCTGATTGAGAACTTGTTATGCTCTTGCGATAAGAGCGTCCCACGGTAGTTGATCATCCACACATCGAAGCCCGCGTCGTAAAGCAAAGGCGCTGAATCGCAAACAAAAAACAACGGAACAACAGTAAAGATTATTGCTGCACGCTGCTAAATAGGGTCAGTGCGGGGAAGAATCGAACACTGCAGAAGCGGGGAAAATTCGCACACCCCAGACTAAATTGTCACGTTCTGTTGCTTTGAAACACTCCCTGCTGATTGTTGGTACCCTGCAGGATTGCATAACAGTATTGGTCTCAAAATAAGGTTCAGTAAAACACTTTCCTGAAGTGTTGTTTTTTCCCCCAAAACTGACCCTTTCTTACGTAGAAATTTTCTATAATACGTGGAAATGGTGCAGGCACTATAGAACATACCTATTCGTATGCTCTATATTTTACAATTGAAAAACAAACATTCGTATCATGGGAAAATCTTGCTTCGTATTATGCTTGCGCCGCATTAAGGGGGGACCCTGGTGAAAAAATCGCCAAAATTGCCAAAAATAGTATTTTTAAAGTTTATAGATAAAAATGTGCATAGAAGCTTTCAGATTCAACAGGTTCAACGCCTTTAAGCTAAGTGGATAGTTTCTTTATCATTTGGACGGAAATAACATTGACATCAGTTGTCGTTGGCTTCTACGCTCAACTTCACAGCTTTGCTCAGTCGACAAAAAATTTTGTCGTAGAAAGACTTCCTGCGTTCCTGGTTGACACCTACATGAGTCGTATTGCATGGACTCTATTCATTGATGACTTGTCGACAAATTTTAGTGACGGAATCTTGATATCAGCCCTACTTTTTTTAAAACACACCTAAAAGTTTGAAAAAAGGGAAAATAATCACTTTTTTTTAAATGTTAAAATTTGAAAACTCATATCTCAGGACAGAAGTTGAATTTGAAAATTCCGTCACTAAAATCTCTTCTATACATCTTTAGGATAACCCAAAAAAATTTTCAAGACTTTCCGTCCCAATGAAAGACGCAGGAAGATTTTTCCCCAACGCTCTAAAACACACTAAAAAGCCACTTTTCTCAGAGACCGTTCAACATTTTGGATTGAATTTTGTTTTGGGAACTCACCATAATGAACCTGACAATTGAGCAAAGTTTCAACTTTCTGGGATTATTTTGAAGCCTACTTGAAAGTTTCACCAGGGTCCCCCCTTAAGTGCGGTAACACAGCTCAAATTTCATTGTCAGACCAGTGTGTCGTGATGTAGGAGTGAGGGCGGTTGACTGACCCAGGGCCTTGCCGCGTCCGAGCACGACGTAGCATGACCCGATGGTCTGCAAGCCTGGCGCCAGCAAGACGGGCTGCCGTCCGGGGTTGGGCGCGCGCTCCAGGCGCAGCCGGTACCCGTCCTGCGTGGTCACGAAGTGCGTCTGCATAGGGTAGCCGAGGTCGACCATCAGAGCGCTCTGGAAAGGAGACAAAGGTTTAAGCTGCAATGCGGTCAAGCAAAATGAAAACCTCACTACCAGGTACTGGATTGAAGATCAAAGTAAGGAAACAGAGGTTTATTGGCTGAGCGATAGCGAAGCCTGTTACTCCAGTGGGGTTGAAAAACTTTTTCTGTCTGTCTGTCTGTCTGTCTGTCTGTCTGTGTGTGTACACTACTCCTCCTGAACGGCTCGGCCGATCTGGCTGAGATTTTGCAGGCTTATTAGGTATGTTCTTGGCTCGGCACACGCGAAATTTCACTTTCCTAGCTCAACTGGTTCAGTTTTTATAGCCGAAAAACACATAAAAATGGCGAAAAATCGAGTTTTCTTCAGGTAGATTTCTCCTGTCTTGATGAAAGGGGGGTCTGGGGGGTGGAGCCCCCCAACCTGACAAGTTGAAAAGTTACAAGGGTCAAGGTCGTGTAATTTGTAGATGAAGCAACTCTATAAAGAGTGAAGGGGATCTGAGGGCGGAGCCCCCCAGCATGCAACAAATCAGAAGTAACTGATGATGGGCAATCATTGCCTGCCGAAGGCAGGCTAGCGCCGCAGGCCAAGGTAGGTACGCCAGGCGCGGATTGGAGGGAACAGGCCGCGAGACATCGCGAAGCCTGTTACGTCAAGACGCGGTCTGGCGTAAACCTACCTTGTTGAAGAAGAGAACACAGCAACTCCAACTATAGGACAGTCTAACCTGGCCTAACACTATTTGGCGGGTTTCAAACGCGGACTGGTGACGATAGTAGAAAAGCCTTGCCGTTTTAATAGTGACAAAAAACTGACGTCGTTTTTTCTAAATAGTAACCACTCACGTTTCTTCTAGCAAAATTTGATATGATCCAATAAATTATGCTTTGGCACTTAAGGGGAGCTTATCTTAGTGGGGTAAGGACCATTTAAACTGCAAAACACCGTTAACAAGGGGTATGGAAGGTTGTAAAGGGTTTAGGCACTTGTTTAACCGAAAGAACATACCGGAGCCGCATTAAAGCCGTCTGAAGACAAAGGCACTGTTAGGATACATCTCTACTGAAATACAAACGGAACCAAATTTCAAAAATACTATAAATCTGTAAGAAGACTTTGGGCCCTTTCCCGAATAAAGCCGGCACATCCGAAATACTGACTGACCGCGCGACGTACACAACCACAACGCGGGGTCATATTCAAAAGGGTATCTTCCTTCCCCCTATGTGAATATTATCTTAAACAGAAATTTTATCTTTGTCTTTACTTTGGCTGCAAAACTATGATTTTGTTTCACTTAAACCCTTATTGAAAGATCTAAACAATAAAAGGCAAGTATGAATGTATTCCCCTTAAATTAGAAGACATCAGAATATCGGATTGAGGGAAATACATGCCTTAGGGAAGATTTTCAAGGAACATAAATATTCTAGTCCTAACATCTTTTGATTAAAAGAATCAATATATAGATGTGTATATTTAATGCTAACAGATTTTGAATTGATATTGGGTTTAAAGAGACGATTCAGGTTTTGAGCGGTGAGTGACTTGGCAATCGGATTTAATGTGAAGATTCCTTTCACTTCACCAAAGTTTGTGTCCGGTAAATGGAACTTAGTATTGGTAATGATTTAAAAGTTGGCTCTCTGAACCTTAGCCCAATACCCAATGTTAATACTATACTGTCATCTTTTACTCCAAGATAAAATATCACAAGACATGAATAAGATGAATTATGTTGGCGTATTGAGCAACAAGTGGCCTCAGCATTGAACTTCATGAGACGATTGACTGAATTTGACAAAACTTGATCCCCGTCAAATGCTTCAGATCAGACTGCCCAAAAGTGAGTCACTTAATATAAACTATAATTACATTTCCAGTCAAAATTTGTTTAATTCACTGGTGAAAATGAAAGAATGACAAAAGGCTTCTCAAATATAACTTAAATTTGTGAGTTCATTGGTTTGAGAAAAATATAAATCGAATAGTAACTCAAGCAGACAAGTAGCCAATTAAGCGATTCAATGCTGGCAATAAAATGTTACTCGACTGAAGGAATCGCAGTGGTTAGGCATCATGGTATTGGTGACGACAAAGGGTGATCCATGAACGCAGACCCATACTTTACCCATTATAGATTAATTTGATATCTATATTTCTCAATTGAAACTCATATTGATTCTTGCAGTTTTTAGGTGCTGATCATGAAAATCACTTCCATTTCTGCTCCGACTTACATTTTCATCTCAAATTGGGTCATTTTGGACCAAAATTCTTAGGTCGAGTTTAATATTATTGATTCCTGCAGTCTTTGGTGAGCTGAACTCAAAAATAACTTCCAAATTTTTCCCAGACTCACGCTTGACCCAATTTTTGACCAAATTTGGCCCAAAATTTTTTATTGAGTTTGATTGATCCCATAGTTTTTGTGTGCTGATAACGAAAATCACTTCCATTTTGACTCCAGACTTATATTTTCATCCCAAATAAGGTCATTTTGGATCAAAATTTTCAAGTCGAGTTCAATATTGTTTCCTACAGTTTTTGGTGTGCTGAACTCAAATATGACTTCCGAAATTTTCTCAGACCGGTCATTACCGAATTTTGACCAATTCCGGACCAAAATTTTGAATCGAGTTTGACGTTATCCCAACAGTTTTTTGTGTGCTGATAACGAAAATCACTTCCATTTATACACCAGACCTACATTTCACTATATATGAGCCCATAAGTTGCATATTTCGTCAACTTTAGCCAAGTCTGAAGTGTATAAACTAATTCTCATCGCTCAGCCACACTACGCGCCCACACTAAACGGCGCGTACCCCTAGTTCTTAGAAGAGTGAACCACGTTTTTCTCAGGCTTTTAAGTGCTACACGCGCCGCTGTCTCCATTGCCTGAATCTGAAAGCTGTGTAGGTTTGTTGTGGAGCACTTGGAAAATAGAGAAAGTTCACCCAGGTGTTTCCAGTTCATGACTTTACAACGATCCCGCTCCTGAAAACTACCCTCACCGCCGTGACGTTGTCATCGGTCGCCGGCAGCCATCTTAGCAGCTGCTCCAGGACGACGACGGCGGTGGTGCCAGCGATGGCGCTGGACGCCTCGGTGATTGGCGCGGTGACGGCGGCGGACACCTCTTTGACTGGCGTAGTGACGGCGGCAGACACCTCTTTGACTGGCGTAGTGACGGCGGACACTTTGGAACCCACGTTCCGAAGCAACCCGGACACCACCCCGAGACCACCCGACGGCCAGGGTGTTGCCACCGGGGCCTCGAGGGGCACAACCAGGATGGCCACCAGCAGCGCCACCGTGCCGCGCACGCCACCCACGCCACTCGTCACGCGCAACGGAGTCAGCATCGGGACGCGAATGTGGACACTTGAGAATCTCGCGTTACTGCCTCTGCAAAACATCATTCAAACTCTGATTGTTGGAAGTCAATGTTCAAATAATTGATCCATGAAGCGGAAGAAGGGGATAGCTCAATTTTCATCATTTTTCAGGGGAAACAAAATAGTGTTTGCAGGGAAAATCAAATCCATTCAGATTAATGATGTAATTGCAGTTTTGTCGAAAAACATCAGTAATAACTGTAAAAATTTTCAAAAGTGTAGCATCACTCTGTAGACGGTTTCTGTGATTTAAATCTTTACGTAAGAATGAACTAAGGAACCATGTTTTCTTATTTCTCTCAAACGAGATGGAATATGGAGACAACTCAAGTCGAACTGAGGTCTGCGTAGAGTCGATATTGCTGTGGAACATTTTTTAAGTTACCTCTTTTTTCCATTAGGTTTTTTAAATGAATTCGGAGTTAAGTTGCGTTGACTCTTTTTAGAGTAGATTAATGAAGACCTAAGTTGAGTTGACTCTTTTTACATTATATTCATAAAGACACAAGTTGAGTTATCTCCTTTTGCTATTTTGTGAAACGGAGTCATGTGGACATCGGTGAAGTTGACTCCATTTTCCGATGAAATTTAGACCGTAAGAAGGGTCAAGTTGAGTTATATCCATTTCCCGCGTAGATTTTCTCCTAAACTGCTGGGAGTTAAATCAAATAATTTGGTGTAAAGATGCAAACCATCCTGAGGCACAATAAGGCAAAAAAATCAAGTTGGAGATAAGTCAACTTATTCCCTTCTTCCACTTCATAGGTCAATTGAAAAAGAAAGTTTTGTCTGACTTTTTTCTGAAGGCGAGTAAATCTTTGTCGGGTTCTAAGTGTGTACTCACCCTCCACTGCGAGGCCGTCCGACTCGTGTCGACCGAGTTGCGGTCGATGCAGCCGCCGACTGCTGTGCCTCAAAACGCGTCCCAAGCCACCATTCACCTGCTTGTGGTAACCATGGGCCCAACCTGCCCAGCCTACACTCCAAAGTAAAACAAGAAGTTAACGAAAACATTTTGCTGAAGAAAGCTTTGTGAAAATTCACGCAGATTCCTCGTTCGTGCAGAAGCGAGTATTGCGAGGAATTTTCGTAAATGTAAATCTTCCGTTGCTAGAGAAAAAAAGCTACCATTTCCCTGATGCACTGCACACGCCACGCTACGTAAAATTCGTCACTCAAACTAATGTTTTTTCTGCGGTCTTTCGCCGATGAATGTAAATGTATTCAGCTCATTGTTGATGAATCGTAATTGATAATGCAGGAATCATCACTCCGGGGTGCGCCTATGTCAAACTGGTTTCGAGTCCACGGTAAATTTCATATACGTATCAGAATGCTGCGCAGCCATAACCATGACCGTTTGGCAGCTGGGTCCAGACTTCGTTACGTTTTGATGCAGAGTCTCACATTTAATGTTTTTATTTTGTGCGAGACATCACAGGTTTTTGTGCACACGAACTTTTTATACAAATTTATACGCGATTTAGCAAAAAAAGGGGGGATATATGGGCAGTTTTCGTACGAAATCTGTACAAAAAGTTCATGGGCACAAAAAACTGTGATGTGTCGTACAAAATTGTTCATAACATGAAGTGTGCGCAACTTGAATGTGCAGATACTGAACGGAGGTGTTCGTTCACGCGGCCAGCGCATTTCCTGTTTTTGAGTGCGCAGCGCCGTCGCTATTTGGTTTGTTTGGCACGGCGGCGCACGTGTCGTTTCTCTGCAACTATAATCTCTACCAGCTTTCCACCTTGCTACTGGTCGTGCCGGTCAGTGTGTGTTTGGGACGGAAACGAAGCGCTTGCATTGCCATACGAATAAGGAGTACGAACAGTTGAGACTAGGTCCGTACCCTTGTCTTGTTAACCGTCTCTAGGCGCCTTGGGTCCTGCTGCCTCGAGATGGCTTCCGTGCCAAGTCGAGTTTGCGCGATGGGTCCTATGAACAAAGACCGATGTCTTTTGGGTCGCTCGAACAAAGACCGATCTCCATTTCGGCCGTTTCTGCATTCGCCACTTCTTTATCTTGTTGTTCTCGCAACAGACATCCAACTCAAACAGTAGTTTGAATGTTTTGTTCCGAACATATTAGAGAATGATTATCTAAAACTCATTAGTGTGGAATCAAAACGTAGAGATTGTTCTGGGACTTCAAAATGAACGCGTTGAGAGGTTAGGGGAGATCGGTCTTTGTTCGAGCGACCCTAAGGAGATCGGACTTTGTTCGAGCGACCCAAAGGACATCGGTCTTTGTTCATAGGGCCCATCGTGATGAATCGCCCGTTGTGTCCCTTTTTTTGAATTAAAACCGCGTACCGCGTATCTTGGTCGGAAGTTGTACCTGCCCCGAGTGATAACTTGAATAGGCTAGAAATCCAACTCGGGCTGTCCGTCGGCCTCGCGTGCAGGCTGAACTCCCTACAGGCTGACACCTTCGGAGCTGACTTTATTTTAGGCACGAAGTAACCCTTAGTATTCTCCAGGACTAAGCCTCGCCGAGATTTGACTTGTATGCCCCCTTATGCAAATCGGAATTTTTCGATAGGGTTTTGGTGAGACTTTGCAAAGCGGTAGAACCCTGAACGGTGATTTCAATGTTGTAATATAGTTGCAATCTGTTCTTTCAATTTTGAGAAAATTGCCGTCAAAATCACCGTTTCCAGGGCAGAGTTCAACTTGTCAGCGAACAAGACAGAAGAACCGAACTCGACCAATAGCAGAGCTTCTTTTCTCTTCTGTACAGCTCACCCTCAAAACGCTCGCTTCCCTGAAAAAGCGCGTTCGAATCAAAGTTTTTAACAACAGCATTGGCGTTGTTTTCGAACGTAGCCATTTGGATCGGCCGGTCGGCCAGTGGTTGTTGATGAGAGTGTCCCGCACCGCTGCGTTGTTGTTATTCTTGTTGCTTTCAGAAATACCAACTTAAAATTTTCGTTACTCTTCAAATAGGAGTGGAGCCATTAAACTGCGCACCTGAATCTGTGAATTATCTTTAATTCCTAAACGTAGTTTGAGAGTCACTGTAAGTTTCTTTTCGAAAAAGCTGGTCATATAGCTGCTCTTGTTAACGAAGTTTGATGGTACTTCTGAATCTAAAACGAAACGATCTTAACTCGGCGGCTCAACTCAAAACTATTGGGCCTAGGTGAAATGAACTATTTTAATGTACGTTTAAGAAAATGACTTAACCCTTAATGCATTTTAACACTGTCTTTCGCTTATGTTTTAGAAACAAATAAATATGCAGCTGGTCGTCTTATTAAGTTTTATTTTAATAGACAGTTGGACACTGTACCAAAGTTTAAATGATCTCCACATAGCGCAGCTCGTGTAGCACAAAACCTGAGGCTAGAACTAGTTACAGCCTTAGGGTTTTTGCTAAACGAGTTAATAAAGAAAATTAACTTCGTAACTATTAGGATTTTGTGAAATCTTATTTATTTTATTTCGCTGTGACACGGAGGGTGAGGCACATGGTGACACTTAAGGAAATTTGATTTTAGGAATTCAATCTTAGGAATTTAATCGTCGCTCGCTATGCATCAAATGCCGTGCTAGGCTTGTTAGCCTGCTTGGCCGTACAAGCGCTGCATGTCGGCGACGATGCGTGCGTTCATGCCGCCGCCGACCGCTCTCGATGCGATGAAGTCTATGTGGTTGAAGGTGGCATCCTCGTCATAGTGGACACTGACGACGTTTGGCAGCTGTGAGCGCAGATAGGCCATGTCCTGCAGACAGAGAATGGACAATGGAGCCGAAAAAGAAACATGCTGGGTTGATAAATGCAATCTTACAAGAAAGACTGGATCACACTGCTAAATCACTGTTCTATTGTTGTACGAAATGCATCCAAAGCTCAATGGACACCCAAATGTTAAACTTCGAGTATTTTTCAGGGGCAACACTTGGTAATGAGCGATCAATACAAAAATACCAAAGCTAACCTGGGGTCTGCATAAAATGTCGTTGTGTCCGAGGTAGAGGTGAGTAGGCGTCTGGATGGCGGACAAGTTGTACAGCGGCGGCTCGGGCGCCCCGTACACATCCTGATTCCTCGCGGCACCGTGGTCGTACTGTCGGATGCCTTGAGCTGCGGGCCACAAGTTCCAAATACGTAACTTCATTAGCTGGCAAAATACTACGCCGTTCTGAGGCGGTCCAAAAAACGACTCCTACATTGTTGACCACCGTCAACCTACTATCGTGACTGCGAAATGCATCGAGAATCCATTAGTCGCTATTCTCACACTTACTGTTGGGGTTCACGTCTTGAAGATAGTGGAAAATCTGGCCCCAGGAGCCACCAGTCGGGACCGAGTTCAAGAAATTCGGGAGTTCCTAAAAGAAAACCAGTGAAAGCAGTCACATGATGACAAATTTCGACGCGTCCTAATAGAATAATCCTAACTGTCAGAGCAGATCCAAGACAATCCTAATTGATAGAGCCGATCCAAGACAATCCTAACTGTCAGTGCAGATTTAGAAGTATCCTAACTGCAGAGGTACATAATAGTGCCATGAACTTATCTTCACCGCAAATCAGTGAATCTCAATATCTCCGAAATATAGTTCAGAATGACACAGTTAGGATTGTCTTGGATCTGCTCTGACAGTAAGGATTATTCGCGTCGAAATTTACGCAGGGTGTGGATTTAAAGCTATGGGCTAGATGTTAGAGAATACGTGCGGGGCTGTTACGCCACTCCACGCAGGTTCAAACACTTTACGGGCCGCGGCCGCTGCATCCGCCACCGCCGCGGCCCATACCCCTTGTGTCAGCAAAATCGCCGTCGGGCGCGTCGCGAAGGGCCGAGGCCCGGAGCGACGCGGCCGCGGACGGGGAGTCGCAGCCCAACCGGGATCCAGGCAAGGTGAGCCAAGTGTCTGTGGGGAGTGACCGGGGTCCGAGCACATGTGCTAGTGGGGGACTAGATTCACTTTCACTGTCAATTATACTAACAGGACAATCAGTCAATAAATCATGGTTACGTCATAACTACCTCCTTGTCTATTCAGTTAGGTCCGTTAGTTTGGTATCAAAACAGGGCCAAAGATGTCGATGTGTATTGACCCTTATCCTTTCATTTATCGATATGAACGACGCCTGCTAAAGAAATGCCCGCATTCTTAATAATTGAGTCCCTAACGAGCGTACTTCCGAATGGAAATTCCAAGCAGGATGACCTCCTAGGTGGAGTTTACCTGTCAGGCAGTATGCTCCAGATCCATGTCCAAAAACTTCTACCAATTTTTTCACAAAATTGTTTCTAAGAAACCCAAGCGTTGCCCGCTCGTTCCTCATTTGCACAATAAATGTCATGGCATTTTTTTTTTAATTATTTAAAAATAAAGAATGATTTCTAGACTTAGTGGACATGTACACAGGATTCTCAGTAACCCGCCGTGCGTTCCGCACTGCATTATTTACGAATTTCGGTAGGAAACGAAAACAGAATTCTCACGAAAGAAGCGAAATCCCCATTAATTGGTGTGGACTTGGGCTCAACCCCGCACTCGAAACAAGTCTGCAAAGCTTTTTCTTCGCACCTATCAAGATAATGAAAACATCGAAGAATTGCTTCGCATTGAGAGAAAAACTACTTCAAATAACGAAGGATTTTGCTTTGTAATACGAAGCAATTCTTCGTAGACTTCTTTTATGCCGGCCCCGACTCACAAGGTAGGTTTCGTTCTTCTTGAAGCCCACGAGGGAGTAGACTACGCTGTAGACCAAGGGGCGCGCCACCGGCAGTAGCACCTTGATGAGGAGCTTGGCGATCATGTAGAGCGGCCGCATGGTGCGGCGCAGGCCCAGGCCCTCCACGAGGGGCTGCGTGCCGTTTTTGAGGACGTACAGCAGCTCCACCACCGGGCTGCGCTGCGCGTGCATCGGACCGGCCGGTGCCATGTGGAAGGCAGCGCGCACCTACAGTCCTTGGATGTGTTACACACACTGAAAATCCAAGTGTGGGACAGGCATGCACTAGATAACGTGGGGCAAACTGTCCCACGCTTACAAAATGTCCCACGTTTGCAAGCGTGGGACAAACCGTGTCACACGCTTACAAGCGTGGGACAAACCGTGTCCCACGTTTGTAAGCGTGGGACAAATCAGTGTCCCACTTTTGCAAGCGTGGGACACTTTGTCCCACGTTATCTAGTGCAGGCCTGTCCCACACTTGGATTTACTGTGGAATCGTAGAGCTGCTCCAAGTCCGCCATTTTGAAACGATGAAGCAAGAGGGGTATTGATACGTGAGCTGATTCGCTCTGAGAAAAAAAATTACGGTGCTCACTAAATGTCAATGGCCAATTTTAGTCCCACGGATTATGTAATTTTAAGCACATCCGACGCTGATACAATTTTGTTCCCACCTGGCGACAAATTTAGTCCGGCACCTGCTGCAAATTATACTTTTATAAGACAATTTGTCCCGCCTGGTGGACACAAAATTGCATCACCATCGGATGTGCTTGAAATTGCATCATTCATGGGACGAAAAAAGGCCCAACGACATTTAGAGTGCAAATCCTGGATAATTTTTTTGCCAATTTTTACCGTTTTTCTCGGTACTTGCAAAACCGCGCTGAAAAACCAAACGTGGTGTAGACCGCACCAACTGGTGTGGTCAAATGGATGCCATTTTGACCGCATCAGTTGGTGTGGTCTAGACCACGTTTGGGGCGTTTGGTGTGGTCTAGACCACAGTGTTATATTCATGCCCTGAGTTCTTCAGGATGTCAGAATAAGTTTGCAGCTTTCAGGGGTGCGCGAATTTTGATCAGGTTTTTAGACAGGTTTCTGACACTCAGACAACATTTGCACGAGTGCGCACCCCGCGTCTCTCTCACCCATCCAGGACTCTACGCGCACCTTGCGCTGGTACTCGGGCCGCGCCGCCGCCATGGCCATGAACGTCGTGGCGCCCATGGAGTGCCCCGCGTACATGACGGAGGGGAAGCTGGTCTGCGCCAGCACGTAGTCGATGGCGGCCGCGTTGTCGAACACGCCCTGCTCGTGCCAGCTGCAGGCAGTCGCAAGCAGTTGACATGACGAACCGTGCACATGGCATGGCACACCTCGTTAGGTACCTCCAATTCAAAGTAATGTGACTCAGTTTTCTAGAGAACGCGACATTTCGTTTCAACGTGATGTCATGGTTTTGGATTCCTAGTGAGGAGTTATATAGTGTAGCGCACGAGATGCAGTGCAAACTGAAGTTCCTCATGTTTCAGCCCAGCCTAGCCTCTACAGTACCTGAAGTCCCAGTACTCCTCGTTTTTTGTTGACAGCTTGATGTGCTCCCGCGAATTGATCGTGCCACGGTAGTTGATCATCCATACGTCGAAGCCCGCGTCGTAAAGCAAAGGCGCTAAATCACACACACACAAAAATAAAACACGTGGCACTTAAAAATAAAAAACAGTATTTAGACTAATATTGAACTGGTGGCCGAAGTAGCTTTGAGTACGTTTTGCAGCAGCAGCCTATTTGAAAGCACACTCCATGTAATGTATGCTACTAAAAACACTCCCCTGATCTGTGTTAGGTTGGCCTTTGATCTTTTGGTGCGCGAAAGAGGTCGACTGACCCAGGGCCTTGCCGCGACCGAGTAGGACGAAGCAAGCCGGGGTGAGCTGCAAGCCTGGCGCCAGCAAGACGGGCTGCCGTCCGGGGTTGGGCGCGCGCTCCAGGCGCAGCCGGTACCCGTCTTGCGTGGTCACGAAGTGCGTCTGCATGGGGTACCCGAGGTCGACCATCAGATCACTCTAGAAAAGAGAAAATCGTTAACCGTGGAGAAGCAAAATAAAAACTTGACGGGAAACAGCATTGACTATGTGCAAGGAAAAAAAGGGTTCAATGTCCAAGTAAGGTGCTGTGCCGAAGTGCACTGCGAGAAAAGATCACGGTAAATCCTGTACTGATTACTCCAGACGTCACCGTACTTTTTGAAACAGGCAATACCGTTGTTTTTTTACAGGCAATACCGTACTTCTTTTTACAGCCAACACCGTACTTTTTTTACAAGGAATCCCGTACTTTTTTACCTGGCAATCCCGTACTTTTAATACCTATCAAAAACTGCTATATTTTTTTTCAGTCGGTCGACCCTCGTTTTTTCAAGATTCTCATGTACGTAACTGCTGAAGTCGGACTCCTGGACCCCCCTTCCGACCACTCGTTGAAAAGGTCCTGACGAGACCTATCGAAAGGTGCAATAAAATTTTTCAGTAGGTCGACCCCCTTTTTTCAAGATCCTGATGTGGGCAATTCTTGGGAGCGGCCTTTGTTGGGACCAGATCTGGTCCTTCCTACGGCATGGACTGTACGAAAGAACGGTAACTACCGTTAAAAAACTACGGAATATTTTGTAAAACAAGTACGGTAAATACTGTAGACTGTACGGTGGATACTGGTTTTTGAAGTACGGTAAAGTTTGGCAAAAAAATTATCCAGGATTTACCGTCATTTTTTCTTAGAGTGTGGCGGACACAAAATTGCATCACCACCGGATGTGCTTAAAATTGCATCATTCGTGGGACAAAAAATGTCCCATGACATTTAGTGTGAACATATTAAAAAACATTTAGTGCGTGGAAACCAACTTAAACTTTTTCCATTCACCAAATTCTCCACACAGGAGAAAGAAGGAAGATTTAAGACTTGCAAAGAGAAGGTAGGTAGCAGTGCCACATTTTCTTCCATGTGGGTGCAAATTCTTCGAAATCCGTTGAATAGTCATAGGGAGCAGAAGTGAGTTCTGCCCTCGGCCCCTACAATACCAGCTATCGTCAAATCGGTTTAGCCGTTCAATTTTCAGGGCACTGGCGCTTGTAGAATAGGATAAGAATCGTTATATGGTTGATTTGCATATTTTCAAATAGCTCGAGAATGCAGAAGTTGCTCCAGTTAACATCACACTCTAAGAAAAAATGACGGTAAATCCTGGATAATTTTTTTGCCAAACTTTACCGTACTTCAAAAACCAGTATCCACCGTACAGTCTACAGTATTTACCGTACTTGTTTTACAAAATATTCCGTAGTTTTTTAACGGTAGTTACCGTTCTTTCGTACAGTCCATGCCGTAGGAAGGACCAGATCTGGTCCCAACAAAGGCCGCTCCCAAGAATTGCCCACATCAGGATCTTGAAAAAAGGGGGTCGACCTACTGAAAAATTTTATTGCACCTTTCGATAGGTCTCGTCAGGACCTTTTCAACGAGTGGTCGGAAGGGGGGTCCAGGAGTCCGACTTCAGCAGTTACGTACATGAGAATCTTGAAAAAACGAGGGTCGACCGACTGAAAAAAAATATAGCAGTTTTTGATAGGTATTAAAAGTACGGGATTGCCAGGTAAAAAAGTACGGGATTCCTTGTAAAAAAAGTACGGTGTTGGCTGTAAAAAGAAGTACGGTATTGCCTGTAAAAAAACAACGGTATTGCCTGTTTCAAAAAGTACGGTGACGTCTGGAGTAATCAGTACAGGATTTACCGTGATCTTTTCTCGCAGTGCAGGCGGGACTAATTGTCTAGTGATAGTACAATTTGCAGCAGGCGTCGGACAAAATGTGTCGCCAGACGGGAACAAAATTGTATCTGCGTCGGCATAAACCGTGGGACAAAAAAAGTCCCATGACATTTAGTGTGTAGTTTTTGTACCCAAGTACTGCAGGTGTAAGTTAGGTACAATAAATGTAGTCTCACCGCGGTGACGTTGTCATCGGTCGCAGGCAGCCATCTTAGCAGCTGCTCCAGGACGACGTCGGCGGTAGTGCGAGCGATGGCGCTGGACGCCTCGGTGATTGGCGCGGTGACGGCGGCGGACACCTCTTTCACTGGAGTAGTGGCGGCGGCAGCGGACACTTTGGAACCCACGTTCCGAAGCAACCCAGACACCACCTCGAGCGCACCCGACGGCCAGGGCGTCGCCGCCGGGGCCTTGAGGGACACAACCAGGATGGCCACCAGCAGCTTCACCGTGCCGCTCACGCCGCCCACGCCACTTGACACGCGCATCGGAGTCAGCATCGGGACGCGAATGTGGACACTTGAGAATCTCGCATTACTGCTTCTGCAACACTTCATTCAAACTCTGATTGGAGGAAGTCAGAATTCAAATAATTGAAAAAGAAAGGTTGGTCTGACTTCTTTCTGCAGGCTAGAAAAATTCACTAAAACTTCGCTAGAAAAAAAGAGGCAGCCATAGCAGTGAATCTTCAAAACTGAGACAATAAACTTGGTTTGTGAGGCGGGCCTTCACCTCACTGCCCATTTGAGTCGGCTCCTTGGATGGTTTTGAGCAACAGGGGCGATTTAGTACCCACACTCTACAAGTTTTTTTTTTTGCAAATTTTGTGCGAGACGTAACAGTTTTTTGTGCAAATGAACTTTTCGTGCAAATCTGAACGTGATTGCGTAAAAAATTGGAAGAAAAGGTGCGGGTTTTCGTATGAAAACAGTACAAAATGCAGCAAAAAATAAAGAAAGAAATGAAACGCTTCATACAAATTTGTACACTTGGTGTGTAGCTGTGTGCTATGTTGTCCGTCCACCACATTCAATAAAATCTCTCCGCAATTTACTCAAGGGGCAAACAACTTGAATTTTGGTGTACATTTCACTTTATATATTGTGAAACAAAGTTGAAATAACGGTGAAGCAACGTGAAGTGACCTAAAATAACGCGAAATAACGTTGAAATAGCAATGAAATAACGTGAATTTGAAATAACGGTGCACAAGTTTTGTCGAAGTTGTTTGCCCCTCGAATTTACTTAAAGCTCCGTTGCACTTACTATTGTTTACCGTGCAGTCGTGTGCTCTTTTGCAGCTTTTGCAGTGCTCCACACTCGTCTTGTGCCTCGAACACCCTCCACTGCGAGGCCGACCGACTCGTGTCGACCGAGTTGCGGTCGATGCAGCCGCCGACTGCTGTGCCTCAAAACGCGTCCCAAGCCTCCATTCACCTGCTTGTGGTCGCCGTGGGCCCAACCTGCCCACCCAACACTCTAAAAATAAAACTGGAAGTCAATGAATTAGTTTCGCCGAAGAACGCTTTGAAAAATTCACGAAGATCCCTCGTTTGTGCTGGGGCGAAGTTTGCGCGGAATCTGCGTAAATCTAAATCTTCACTGTTAAGAAAAATTCTGAAAATTCGGACTAAATGGTCAAAAGCGGATTTTCTTAATGGTGGCCTAGAATTGCTCCGAAAAGTCAGACTTTGGAAATACGAAAATTTGGACTGTGTCAGTCTGAAAATTGTGGTCTCGCCAAATTTTTCACCGTAAGAGCTTCCGAAATCTAAATATTCATCAACCATTAGACCTTCGAAGAGAGAATTGCTTTCGGAACCACACCCAAACTCTGTATACCGCTACGGTGATTCGAACCCAAGAACCACCCGGTGGCAGCAATCTCATCCGGGCCCCGGAGGCGCTGCTACAGGTGCATCATGGTCTACATGGGGTTGAGGAGGATTTCGGCAACGGATACAGCTTGAAGGGTATGTTGGAGTATTTTTGGAATCGGGGCGACGAGACAAAGCCAACGGTGCTGGTTTCGATCAGGGGGCAGCAACGGCCTAGGAAGCGCGTGAAGCCATGCGAGAGCGAGGTGCTGGGGTTACTTATTTTGCTTCGATTGCCCGTTGATTGCAAAACGCTTTGAACAGATGAAAAGAGCACAAAATTTGGGGTGCATTAGGCCTAGTAGACTGCCCGACACTTTCAATTCAACCGAACACAAGGGCGGAATCACTCTGCAAACTCAATAGTGTACTCAGCACACTCTAGAGTGTGCTCGTGAGTACACTCTAACTAGCGTGTACTCAGATGAGTACACACTTTCAGGTGCATAAATTGCCAAGCGTGCTTAGGTGTGTACTCATCTGAGTACACGCTAGTTAGAGTGTACCCATCTGAGCACACGCTAGTTAGAGTGTACTCATCCGAGTACACGCTAATTAGAGTGTACTCATGAGCACACTCTAACTAGAGTGTACTGAGTACACTGTTGAGTTTGCAGAGAATTATATCAACATGGCGCATTCGAGCTTTTCCTAAATTTTACGATTTCTCGTGTTTTTTGGTGTTTTTACTGCACCTTAATATTAGGTAAGGGGGGAGTTTCATGAAGAGCAATTAGCCTAATGCGCCCTAAATTCCAAGCCCTTTCCATCGGTGCAAAGCGTTTTGAAAAACACAGTCTAGTTTTCTTGAACAAGTGCGCAACCTCTGCACTGACGGCGCGAGCATCGCTTCACGCTCTCCCTAGGCCGTTGCCACCCCCTGGAGGGGCACTCAATGGCACATCTAGGAATTCAATTTTAGGAGTTTAATGGTCGCTATGCATCAAATGCCGTGCTGGGCTTGTTAGCCTGCTTGGTCGTAGAAGCGCTGCATGTCGGCGACGATGCGTGCGTTCATGCCGCCGCCGACTGCTCTCGACGCGATGAAGTCTATGTGGTTGAAGGTGGCATCCTCGTCATAGCGGACACTGACGACGTTTGGCAGCTGTGAGCGCAGATAGGCCATGTCCTGTCGACAGAGAATGCACCGAGAATGAAAAAGTCATGATCAATACCCAATTTTGGGCGAGGTATGCTCTATCACCCGAATTTGGGCAAGGATTGTTTCCTCGCCCAAATTTGGGTAAGGAAGGCTTCCTCGCCCAAAATTGGGTGAGGAAGGCTCCCTCGCCCAAAACTGGGTGAGGAAGGGTGTATCAGTTGCCTACACGGTAAAAACGCTTCCTGGGAATCCCAGGAATCTCCTGGAAACTCCTATCTCTTATAACATAGGGCTCCTGGGAATCCCAGATTTCGTTTTTACCGTGTATACGGTCCATAGTATTATGACCCAAATTTGGGTGAGGAAACCTTCCTCACCCAGATTAAGGTGATAAAGAATTCCTCGCCCAAACTTTTAGTCATAATCATGACTCTTTCATTCTCAGTGTGGACAATGGAGCCGAAAAAGAAACATGCTGGGTTGATTAATGTACTCTTGCAAGAAAGACTGGGTCACACTGCTAAATCACTGTTCTATTGTAGTATGAAATGCATCCAAGGCCGGTAATTATGATCAGGCCCTCGAAGACGAAGAAAGGGAATGTCTGGAGGCTCTCAAGGAATCATACCAAGTTGATGATATGAACAGATGGTATGAGGAAAATTGCTCTGGTGAAGAAGAAGATGACGCCACAAACAATGCTGGTCGAGCCCAAATCAATCAGAGCTTAGAAGACGAAGAAAGGGATCGCCAACAGGCTCTCCAAGACTACTTCTTTGTTAATGATGTCACCACATCTTAATAGTATTATTTCCATTGTCTATAAGTCACAAAAATTTCTCTTTGCGTTTCGGGAAATAACAGCGACTGGAAGTTTGATGCCGACACTAATTGGGGTAAGGAAGGACGTTTCCAAACAACGTTGAAGCGACCGACTTCGCAATACGGGTGTGGAAGAAGTTTAAAATGTGCAATTTGGAGGTTAAAGTGAGACCCTGTTTTATTAAAATAGGTAGAAACCACGGCCAGGCCCCCTAAACGGTGATCATTTTCGGATTGTGCAGGTTTTTTCACGATTTTAGGTATACTTTGGAGGCTCCAGATCGGTGGAGCCTCTAAAGTACATAATTCCCCGAGGCCGAATAGACACCCAAATGTTTAACTAATGGTCTTTTTGAGGGGTAACCCTTAGTAACGAGCGATCAAGCATTGTGGCAAAAAGGTAAGGACGATTCTGTTAATTCTCTTGCCAGGATTCTCCGTAGCCCTCTTATTGGCTGAGCGATAGCGAAGCCCGTTACTCCAGTGGGGATGAAAAACTTTTTCTGTCTGTCCGTGTGTGCGCACAACTACTTCTGATCTAGAAACTTCCGAGAGTGCATGGCATGCTCCTCCTGGGAGTCAACCACAAAGCACGCTCTTCCCAAGAGCATGCTTGCAAGCACACTCTTCCCAGGAGCATGCTTGCAAGCACACTCTTCCTAAGAGCATGCTTCAGGACGCTTTAGTATCCCAGAGAGTGCTTGCAAGCATGCTCCTAGGAAGAGCGTGCTTTGTGGTAGACTCCTAGGAGGAGCATGCCATGCACTCTCTTCAGTTTCGGGAGAGAACGGTTGATCATCAATCTCTGCAGCTTCCAAAGACATTTCCCTGAAACTCCAGCCTACAAGAGCAGCAAACTCGCTCCTGATGATCATGAAAAAGCTTATGTCAAGAGCAGGAAACTGTCTGTGGGTGGATGCTGTATCATCCAATACTTCTGAGGATTTATCATCTAATTCTCCTATAGTACAGGTGTCTACAAAGACCACAAAACGAGACTACACCAAGAGATTCCCATGCTTATTCTGTGATGCCATGGTGCTAAAACTTCCTGATCAGCTGGAAAAGAATCATGGGAGTGAGGATGATGTTTTAATTCTACGTAGTTGTTTTGTGCATAGCTTTTGCACCAAACCGCGTGGAACGCAATAGTAAGTGCGCCAAAACGCAAAATTTTTGCTTTGTTGCGAAGGAAGTGGTGCATTTTTAAACGCATGCCTAGTTTTGTGCAAAACTTTTGCGTTACAAACCACATAATAATTTAGTGCGTTGGGCGGCAACCTTCTTAGCTAGAACCGGTGAGGGGAAACCTTCATCACCTCAATTTGAGCGAGGAAACTTCATCACCCGAATTTTCCGAATTCCCAGTGTATAGCCAGCGCTCTGACTGTCCCTGCTTGTGCCGCAGCTGCTGGACCTCCCGCCCGAAGTGCTGCTGGCCGTGCTGGCCTGAAAAAACTCATGCGTCTGAGAGGACCTGTCAAAAAGTTTGATGCAGGTAAGAAGAAGAATAAGGAGAAGGAGGAGAAAGATCCGATTGGGAAGGAAAGAATGGAAATCCTTTCTTCCATTAGATCTAAAGCCATTTACCTGCACAATCAAAAGGTCACCCAATCCAACTCAGGTGAAATAATACCCAAAAGTAGAGGGGTCATGGAAATTTCGTTGGGTGATCTGGTTCCTTGCAGGCATTGTCTAGAGCTATTTACAGGAAAGCATGGCTCTACAAACACAAAAATACTTGTTCCGA